CAAGAATGGCATAACCATGCATCCTTCTACCCACACAGAGGGGAAATGGCGTGTACCTCTCAAGTTTCTGACTCACTGGATACCTGCGAGGGAGAACATGTGACCCAGGCCATTCTGGAGGAGTCATCACACAGTTGAAAAGATAATCGTAAGAAACCAGTTATATTTTTTATTGTTAGTTAAAAAAAAGAAACTAAGCAAAACAACTATTACTTGTACAATATTTGAATTGTTTTCTCATATAGCCTGACTCCTTCTGTGCAATGCCAACATGAACTATACCAGGTTCTCCCATTGGATTTCTTGAACATGAGTAGACAGAAGGTCAGGTACCAAGACTATGTTAGACGCTGGGGCCCAGGAGTGAAAAGTATTGCGAACTTGGGTCTCATGAAGCTTCCAGGATCATTGACATGTACATTGCACAACTAAAACCACTAAAACATAGCAGGAGATGAAAATATTGGTGTACTCTTTTCAGTTTAAATTTATGAGGTTTTCCTATCATTTACAGAAATATAAAGTCATTACACCATTCGCTCCGATTTCTGTTAATTAAAATGCTATTTAAAACATATATGAGCCAAAATTAGGATAATTACAAATTTACTTTTGCAAGTCTACGATTGCCGTCATTCAGTTATGTCTGTTTATTTACTTGTTTACCTCGTTTGTGTAGATATGTGCATGTGTGGATGCTGCAGTACATTTGTAGACATCAGAGAACACCTTCTGGGAGTCAATTTTGTCCTTCCTCTATGTACGTCCCACAGATTCAATTCAAGTCATTGGGGCCTGGCATCAAGTATCTTGACCCACTGAGCTATTTGATAAATATTTATAATGAAACATCCTTTCTCAATTCTTTGTTGCCATTTAAAGTACTAGTTTTATGTTTGTGTCAATGAATAATTTAATTCTATATTATTAACTGGTTATGATCACTGTAGTAATAAAATAGGCTGACTGACTCTTCCATTAAGTCTACTTTTGAATATAAAAGGTCTGTTTTGCTTCAGGTATGTAACTAATGCTACAACTGGTTGTGCCAATGTAATAGTCTGGAAAACTGATTCTTCAAGAGCAGGTCCAATCTTCTCCCAACTTAAGCTATTTTCTTTGTAATGCTATTCCCAATTGCACGTTATTCTAAAGCCATTTGGACTACTTAGTCCTGCTGTTTATCCAACTTAATGTTGCATTTGATCTGGAATTTGGTAATATGATAGAATGTAGATACTTAGTTTTTTTAAAATATGAGTTTTAGTAATAGATTTTTCAAGACATTGCCTTTAATTCAGGATTTATCATTAAAACATGTTCTGCAGATTGCCATGATTATAGGCACTAACATGCAAACATCTGTGACACTCATGGCACTAAATGTGTCCTTTTCTATCCAAATGGTAAAAGGTATCGCCATTCATTTGAAGAACTTGCTAAGCTTCTAAAGTTTTGTACCATTGAGTATCTGGAATATGCCTTGAAGCAACTTGTTTATAGACAAAGACTGTAAGATATCCAAATACCACAGTGTGAAGTGTTTACCGTTTATAAAAGAATAAATACCAAGTCCTTCTGGGTGTGCATTTTTAAATGAACATTAAATGAATAAGGGGGAAACTGGAAAATGTTTCCTTTCGGCATATGCCAAATGAATGACTGCATTCATCTTCCATTTATAGCAGGCTGAGGGACTGCTGGTCGCAGAGGGACTATCTCATGGTCCATAAGGTCATGACTGGGAATTCGTTTACTTTTATAATGGATTTCACCTGGAAGTGTCATTCCTCTGCAATCAACTGTATCACCTTGGGTCTCTGAGCAATGATGCTGAACCACTGACAGATGCAGCCTTCTGAAATGAGTTCCAACTCTGACAGACATCATTTCCCACCACTCTTAGTTACAAATCAGCTTCCAATAGTGGGCAAAAAGATCAACTTACCTGTTAGAGATGTTTCAAATCATAATACTTTTTAGCCATGATATCTTTGTTTGGAAGGAGGGACCAGTTTATCTAGGGAGTTCTGACTATTAAAGAAACCCAAAAGCTCATCATACCAAAACCTGCCAAATTAACCTTAGAAACTTCCACCCAGAGCAGGGGAAAAAATCACAACTACAGGATTTTAAAACATGAAGCATTAAACTACCTGTACAGGGCTTAGTTAATTGAGTGTTTTGGTATGTGTTTGTGTCAAGGCTTGTGTTCTAAATCTTCGTTGGAAATAAAGATAGAAATGGTACATTTTGGGCTGGAGAGAAGACTCTGCCGTGAAAGGATAAGCGCATCACTGAAAATATAAAAAATGATACATTTCTTCAAGAATCAAAAAAACACCCAATTGCTTGAATGATTTATGTGTAGTGGAAAAGTCTCTGGGTGGCTTTATCAGAGCTCAGCCAAAGTCATCTTTGGCAGATGCATTAGATGGGAATTAAAAAATGGGTTTGGAAAAGTCTATGTGAAAGATAGCCAAGATACATAGATCTATGCTACTGTAATTACTGATGGATGTTCTAGCTTTTCCCTCCACGCACACACATCATTTTTTTCATTTTGATATCTTCCATATTGTTGTGGGCTTGGTGCTTGTGTGTCAGGAATGATCAGGTCATGGCATGCCTAACTCATGTTGATTTTTGGTTTTCTGTTTTTTTTTATTTTGTTTTCCAGAATATTATAAAAAGTAGAAGAGCGGCTACAAGGGAAAGCTAGTGGAATTTTGTAAGACGATGAAAGTAATTAATATAAAATATTTGGCAGTGGAAAGACAGACAAAGTGGCAGCAGCAATCAGTTGTGATACAGGCAAGTAAGGATGCTTGAGTAGAGCATCCTTTGAAGCTTGGGTATTCAGGAGATGGTTTGTAGAACTGAATAACACTTTTTGGGTCACTTGTGGGTGGGGAGTGATGAAATCTGGAAATTCAAGAAAACAATATGTTAGGTCTTGAGAGCACAGCCTGGGTTGCAGTGTGCTATCCTGCCTCGAAGACATTTGTTAACCAACCACTCAGTCTTGGTAGCAGAGCTGAAAATCTGAGAAGCATTTGTTTGGTCCATCGTTTGTCATGGGCAACAATACTTCATGGTGTAGTTCTTATTCTCCAATTTCTCCCCATAGATGGACCTGCCATTATGGTTTGTGAAGTCACTGCCCTGGCACATGAGTCTTGGAATGATTTTGTGCAAGGAGGAATCCTCTTTCCATATCTTTTCTGTGGAGTGCTTACAGCGTGAAAATTTTGTAAATGGGCTAAAGGAGACACAATTGTCTCCTATGTTAGAGAACATCTTGGGGTTGACCATGGCTGCCAGCAAGTGGCAATAGGAAACATCAGTGTCTGCAAACTGGCAATAGCATATTAATCTAGAATATTACACTTCAGAGTATTCTCAGGGATATTACTAGTTCTTTAGGGTTGGAAGTCCTTGTGCTCAAAATGGCCATATTTTGACATTTCTAATCAAATTATCCAATGCTGAAATGAGGTTAAAGAAATGAAAGGACAGAAAAAAAATGGATACTATAAATGAAGAAATTCTGATTATTAGACTTTGTATTTACTATCAAGTCAGTACTTATGAAAGTCACACAAAATTTTTACAAATATCTGAATTTAAATGTAAAATTGAAATAGACAGTAAATAGACTAAAAGTATACAAGAGTACAAATCTTGAGGGTTAATACATCATTATTATCAATCACCAGGAAAACACCTCAGGGTATGTATATGAGGTCATTTCAGTAGGCAAGGATGACCAAGCTGGAAACTGGGTTGTATAGTCCCAAACTGAGAAGGAAAAAAATGAGCCAGGCGAGAGCAGATGCAATCGAACAGCATTTGCTACCATGTTTCTCGGGTCATGATGGTATGTACCTCTTTTAAAAATTCTAAGTCAGATTGAACCTTTCCTTCAAGTTTCTTTTGTTTTTATTCACATATTTTACAAAGAGAAAGTCTTTGATAAAAATTGCATAAGGAAGATGATCACATACTTGTGCTTGAGGTGGACAACAGGTAGGTACTGTGACTATGTATGTGTACCTGTGGTGATGCACAAGGAGAGGACAGAAGACAAACTCGCAGTTGGTTCTCTCTTCTACCCTCAGGGGTCCAGGAATAAAACATAGGTCACCATGTGCCTTTATGTACTGATCCATCTTGTAGCCCCACTTACTAATCTTGTGGTCATTCATGTGGTAAAAAGATTTCTTTTGAAGCATATAATTACCTGAAGTAATTTGAAGGAATTACAAGATAGAAGGCGAACTTTTTCTAATTAATTTATTAATTATTAACACCCCCGCAACCCCCCGTGACAGGTTTCTCTGAGTAGCCCTGGTTGTACTGGAACTTACTCTCTTGACCAGGCTGGCCTCGAATTCAGAGATCTACCTGCTTCTGACTCCTAAGTGCTGGGATTAAAGGTGTGTGCCGCTTCTGCCCAGGGAAAGTGATTCTTACAACAGGCAACACAACCAAAAGCTAATCACAATGTACAGTGAAAATTTATTGGGCCTTTCCTATGACAGACTCCACACCCCTACAAATGCAGGAGTAACTATGAAGATTATTCTGCCTCATGCTTTCTTGATTACATTTTAAATACAAAAACTGATTAAGTGAAAGCCTTAAGAAGTCTTACAAAGTGTTGTATGGTTGTTCGGTCTGGCGTGAAGATTCCATAGAGGGAGTCTTAAAAGTGCATTAGGCAAAAATGTGTACTTTTGACCAAAAAAGTAGTCCAAACCAGATAACTGAATAAGGTTAGGTAGTTATGTTATAGCTCTAAGTAATCCCTAAGTAACAGGAATGATTAAAATATTTCCTCAGAACTCTTCTGAAGAAATGCATAAGTTATTTACGGATTAGGTCTGGGTACACACTACCTTGCTCTAGTATGAAAAACGAATTCACAAAATTCATGCTTATATAAAATAATATTTACTATATATGAGTGGTTTCAACAAAGCAGGAAGACAAACACGTTAAAATCTATATCTTTAATACACCAAGCAATAAAATATTAGTATTTGTGACAGGTATTTAAACAATATTTACAATACTATGGGCATGTATATCTAAATTTCTGCACCAAAGTTTTCAAAAGTAAAATCACATATATGAATAAAACACATATTGACAGAGAACAGAAGACAAATACATCTTGGTCTTAATTTTATGACTTCTAGAGTCTCCTAATTTTTGAAAATAATAAGGGTAATTTAGGTCATCATTTTTCTAAAATGTGCTAATCTATAGCTGAGGTAAAATAAAACTAAATTGACATGTTCACTAAGAGATTTTCAAGAGTAACAAATATTTGAGAAATGGTAAATATAACCTCTTGTAATTTTATATTTACTTAAAGTACAAAAGGAGTTTTTATTTTGTTTGATGAGTAAGCAGTTCTAGGTGGTCTCTCAGAGACACGAAGTACATTTCTGCAGGGACATCGACACTTCTTAGTGTATATTTTCTTTAGAAGCATTTCTTCTAAATTTTCTAAACATGTTTGAATTTACTTTGTTGGTGTTTCTTTTATAACCTAGAGAAGAAAGAAAGATGAATAAATATAAAGAAACTTTCAAAACTCATTGTTCATACAATTTATATAACAATTTATTCACAAAAATTTACTCTTGAAATTAATGGTTAACTAAAACAATTTAAAATACAATAGATTTTCTGAGATTTCCACTTCTTGGTACAAACTCAGGGCTACCTTAATTTTCCTCCCTGACCGCCTCCAGACTTCCCTTCTATTCCACCTCTGTTCCTTTGTGTTAGCCTCCAAACCAAATAAACACTCTCTACCAGGGAGTCCTGGTGGCCACCCAGCTCTGGGATGCAGAAGTACTCTCCCCATAGCCAGCACATGTTCATAGAATCAACAGTGGTCAACAGCAACAAAAGAACAGCATAATCACCGAACAGAAGAAGACCAGCCATCTATACAAAGAAACACCTCAAATATCATAATTCCAAGTGTCTAAATTCTCTGAACAAAAACCCAACCATGAATAGCCAAGACAATATGTTTCCTCCAGAAGCAAGTAATCCTATGGTAATAGGCCCCGAGAAATACAATTTAGGAAAACACAGTACAAAAATTTTAAAAAAATAGCAAGCACAATAAAGTGAATATGAATAAATGCATTAATGAAGACCATGAAAACACACACACACACACACACACACACACACACACACACAAATGAATGAAATAAAAACAGTTAAATACGTGAAATTAGAAGTAGAATTACTAAAGAATACCCAACCTGAAATAAAACTGTAAATGAAAAACTTGGAAGGTCAAATGAAAATCTCAGGGTTTTAAGCCTCACTAACAGATTACAAGACACTGAAGAAAGAATTTCAGGTGTTGAAACAAGGTAAAAGAATAGTTCAGTAAAAGTACTGGATAGCTCAGTAAAAGAAAATGTTAAATCTAAAAATAATACAAGCACAAAACACCTAGGAAATCTATGGCACCATGAAAAGACCAAAACTATGAAAAATAAGGATAGAAAGAGAAGAACGCCACACCAAAGGCACAATAAAAACAAATAACAACAACAACAACAAAAACAACAAGAATCATAGAAGAAAATTTCCCCAATCTAAAGGAGATGCCTAAAAAGGTACAAGAAGCATGCAGACAACCACATAGGATCAGAAAAAAGGTACCTCATGACACACAATAATTAAAATGGTAAATGTCTAGAATGGAGAAAAGGTATTAAAAGCTAAAAGGGAAAAAGACCAACTAACATATCAAGGCAGATTTACTAGAATACCTGACTTATCAACGAAAGCCATAAGGACCTAGATGGATGGTGTACAAACTGACAGACCACAGATGGCAGCTTAGACGGCCATACCCAGCAAAACTATCAATCACACACATTCAAAAATTCATAATAAAACCAAATTTAAACATTTACGATCTACCAAATCAGCTTTATAGAAGGCACTAGAACAGTGATTCTCACTCTGTAGGTGGTGATCCCCTTGGGGGTTGGATCAGATATGTTGCATTTCAGATACTTACATTGTGATTTATGACAGTAACATTTATAAATATGCAGTAGCAATGAAACAATTTTATGGTTGGGGGTTATTACAACATGAGGAATTGAATTAAAGGGTCTCAGTATTAGGAACATTGAGAACCACTGCATTAGAAGGAAAATTTGAGTCTGAAGAGGTTCAATACACTCAAGAACCACTAGGAATAAGTAGTCCCAGAACAATAAATCAAAGGAGGCAGAAAAGACCCACACAATAACAACAAAATAATAGGAATCAGTAAGCCCAGCTCATTGAAAAGTTTCAATATCAACATTCTCAATTTCCCAATGACAAGACACAGACTAATAGATTAGATTAGAAAATAGGAGCTACCTCTCTGCTGCATTCAATACATACACTTTACCATTTAGGATAGACGTCACCTAAAAGGATGGAAAAAAAAGTATTCAAAGAAAATAGATCCAAGGAGCAAGTGGATGTAGTAGCCCTTTTAATATCTGACAAAACAGACTTCAAACTAAAGCAAACCAGAAGAAATAGGGAAGGATACTATATGAAAAGTATAGGAAGGACTCATGAAAAGTTCACCAAGAGGATGTTGCAATTCTAAACAATACTCTTTTGCCAAAAGACAGATCATCAAGATAAGAAAAAATGATCAGAAATGGTGGAGTTAAATAATGCCATAAACCAAGTGAACCTGCCAGATAATTTAAATACAAAAGAATATACTTTTCTTTCATCAGCTCATTGCATTTTCTCCAAAACTGAACACATACTGGGACACAAAACAAATCTAAGGCGATATTAAGAAAACTGAAATATCCCCCTACATCCTATATAACTGTAGAAACTTTCAAACATACACACATATATTAAAGAAATCTAAATGGAGTCACCAAATAATAGAAAAGTAAATACCCCAACTAGACATCTTATAACACCAAATAAAACCTTAGTGCCAGGCATGGGTTACATCTTGTCAAGTTATTGGTCAAAGCAGCCCCATGGAAACTCTCAAACAAATACAAGCTATTTGTCACTCTCCACAATTTGACAGTTAGGTCCCATTGGTAAAGACACCACTTTCATCACAGAACAGAGAACTCAAGAACCCTACAACCTATAAGTGACCTGACTGTAAGATATACTGATGAATCATCAGTGATCAGTGGTACAAATGTTATAGGAGTAACCAACCACTTTTATTTTTTTTTTGGGAATTAAGACCCACTAAATGAGATGTAACCTGAGTATGGACCTGATACTGCTAAAGTGGCCAAGGACCTGGGAATAGCAAGGTCATGGGCCTAGCAGAAAACTTACTACCATCACTCTAAGGGACCAGAGCAATAAAATGATTCGTAATGACATCTATACACATGGATCAGTGCCTCACTCAACTCATATCAGAGAATCTTCTTTGCAGTAGTTGGATATTTACAAAGAAATTTACACCTTGGAAATGAGCAAAGAGAGAGAGACTTTGGATCATTTAGTACTAAATGGGATGTTTTCATCAAAGCCCTCCCTTCAAGACTCAGGGACCTATGAGGAAAAGGAGGTGGAAAGATTCTAGGAGCCAGAGGTGACAGAGAACTCTAAGGTAACAGTGTCCTGTGGACACAACAGGACTGATGTACAGACAAACTCATAGAGACTAACTATGGCAGTATGCCTAAGACCTGCCAAGGTTCAAGACAGACAGGGTACCAGTAATGAGAGGAGGAAGTAAATATTAGCGCCCATCAATAATCTGTAATTGACACTTGCTAGGTAAAGAGAAAGTCACTTTTCTACAATGGAGTGTTAGTGGATATATCAACCACACTTCACGCCTGGTCTTATGCCTAGGACTAACTGACCAAGAATAAATTCAGTGGTATTTTGTTTCATTTTTACATTTTTAGTGTTTCTTATTTTTTTTTAATTTTTTTTAAAAGAGAGCCATAAAGAACACAAAGTTGGGTGGGTAAGGAAAACCTGGAAGGAATCAGGTGAGGGGAAAAATATGATCAGAGTACACGTAGAAACTTTTTTTTTCAACAAAAATATACTGAAGTAAACAAATGAACAGGTATATAGAAGAGAAAAAATATAACAGCAGCAGAGCAAATTAAATACTGCTGGCTAAAAATTGTTCACTCCATATTATAAATGAAGTTTTAGTGAGAACTTTTAATAAACACATGTCAAGTAAAGTCACTGAATAAACTCCTTCTTCAATTTCTGCATTCTCGTTAAAGAAGAAAATGTGTATGAGTCTTTGTTTCTTTCCTTTCTTGCATGGTCATTGTTCTCATATTCTTTGAAATTCTTCTGTTTGTGTCTCCTACACAAATCTCATGGTCTCTTCTCTTCTCTCAAACAGGGCCTTTCTACCTTCTCATCCTTTTGCCATTTCAGTTGTTTATACATGTTCTTGGTCACATGCTTCAGCTTTGGAGGCTCTTGTTTTCTTGTTTCTATAACTGCCCAGCTGAAAACACTCGCCTTTCCCCCACTGCTGGTCCGTGTTATTTCACCCTTATACATTATTAGAAACTCAGGTGAGCGCAATTTAAGAAAAGCAGTTGCATTTTCTTTCTTTTCTTTTATTTCTACTAATCTTTAATACGTGTTTGGCTTAGATATTACATTTTCTTTGTTTGCTTTTTGTTTTTTGAGACAGGGTTTCTCTGTAGCTTTGGAGCCTGTCCTAGAACTAGCTCTTGTAGAGCAGGCTGGTCTTGAACTCACATAGATCCGCCTGCCTCTGCCTCCCGAGCACTAGGATTAAAGGCATGTGCCACCACTGCCCGGCTTAGATATTACATATTTTATGAATATTTATCTTCTATTAGAATTGATAACCTCCAAGCACTCCATTATCTTTAATCATTATATTTTTAAATTATTGTGCAAATTAAAAAATCTGTATAATAGATATATCTGTTGAAAAAGTAAACAAGTATCAATGTTATTAAAGAAATTGGCAAAGTTATTTAGGAAAAATAAGAAAAGCTTTCATGTTATACAGAGACATAAACATTATCTCATGACATTTTTTTTTTTTTTAAAATTCCAAGTGCTATAGGTTTCTCCAGAGAAGAAACCAGTCTTAGAAATCTTCATATTCATTCTGGGACTTAGCACAAGAATGCTTAATAAATCAGTACTGTAGCAAGTCACAGGAATTGTAATGTCAGAGACAGGTCTGGACTTTGTGGTCTAGAACTTGTTGATATAATACACTCATAGTCAAACAGAACGACTTTTGTACCCATGGATTCATGCTACTCCCACATATGATTGAGGGTATGTAGAATCCTTCATTAATGTCTTTTTGTCAATTTGTCAGGGGAGTCACAATATGATTATAATTAGGAGCAAAGTAGAGACTGTATATTAATTACATAAATGATTCAGAGGCCAGATGTAAAAACACAAGCACTGAGAGAAAAATTTCAAGTGGGTCTAATTTATTTATAAAGTATAGTTAATGAGCTGGGTGGCAAATGCCTGTAATCTCAGCACTGGGAAGCAGAAACAGGAAAATAACTAGTTCATAACTACCTTGTACTACATAATAAGACCCTGCCTCAAAAATGAAACATTTAAATACATACACATATATAATTGATTTACTGTATAATACATTTAACTACTATTTCAATTATTAGGCAACTATAATATGAGGCAGTCTATACAACAAAAAGGGTAGGCAGAGTAACAAGTTGGAAAATCTGGTTCAGTCAGGAACCTTAATATTTGTTTAATATTGAATACATGCTTCACAATGTATCTTAAATTTCTTTTTCTACAAAGCATAAAAATCACACCTATCCTACCACAAAATATAAAGGGAGATACTTATAAAGACATAAAACCAAGGTACTTTATGTATGATAGATAATTATGTAATTAATTATCAGATTAACAGCACAAACATACCTACTGTCAGTTTGTTTTCTTGCAAGAGCTTATCACTTGAATTATCCTGTCGAATGCGCTTGGCCAATCCATGATTTTCGTCAGATTTTAATGAAGCATTTGATGCAGAACTTGTGGAGAAAAGTTTTCATTTTAGTTAAGGCATTCAAAAATATTCTTAATACATATACTGGACTTAATTCCCTAGGTCCAAATGAGAAGCAGATGGAGGGAGAACGTGAGCAAGGAAGGCAGGATCAGAGGGAACCCTCATCCGATGATGAATGGAGATAGAGACGGAGACCCACATTGGAGCACTGGACTAAGCCCCCAAGGGCCAAATGAGGAGCAGAAGGAGGGAGATCATGAAAAAGGAAATCAGGACTGCGAGGGATGTGTTCAATCACTGATACAAGGGGACTGATCTAATGAGAGCTCACCAAGGCCAGCTGGACTGGGACTGAACAAGCATGTGATCAAACCGGATTCTCTGAATGTGGCTGACATGGGGGCTGACTGAGAAGCCATTGACAATGGCACTGGGTCTTGTTTTGTCTGCATGTACTGGCTTTTTGGGATCCTAGTCTGTTTGGATGCTCACATTCCTAGACCTGAAGGGAGGGCTGAGGACCTTGAACTTCCCACAGGGCGGGAAACCCTGACTGTTCTTAGGGATGGAGAGGGAGGAGGAGAGGGAGTGGGGGAAATGGGAGGGTATTGGGAGGAGGGGAGAAAGTGGAAATTTTTATAAATAAATAAATAAGTAAAAAAATATTCTTAATTCATATGCAATATAGTAAGAAATCAAATACAGAAATAATTGTAAAATCCTGCATGAGTAATTGGAGGCACTAAAAATACTTAAAAACTAAATCTAGTTATCCGTAATTTTATTGATGCCAATATAATTTAGATAGCTAGGATTATACTGGGTACAGGTAACAGTTCTGCAGAATATTTCCTGGGGAATGAGCACTGTTTGCTATTTACAGTGTGAAGAGACATCACAAGGGGTAAAAAAAAAAATCCACTGATCATAAAGATTTAAAAAAATTAAAAATATTGTTAGGATTAAAATTTCACCAGAAAAATTTAGTTTAGTAGATTTTTAAAATTTCTAGGAATTTTGACTCTAATTTTCTTTTTTTTTATAAAGAAAAAACTGATAGTATAAAAAGTACACAAGAAGAGATTTTAATATTTTAAAACCACATTAAAACATATACACCCCTAAATATGTCCATGGAATCTACTAAGTGGAAAATACCAGAGCTTATTACTTTCAAGCTCATCTATCTTTAATTGGGGAAAAAAGGAAGATTAAGAAAAAGTAATTATGTACATATCTATCATTAATCTCTTTTAACCTTAGTTAATGGCAGGATCTAATTATTGACACCAGAGGGAATGTAACAGCGTAGTAACAGATAGTCTGTGAATAGTCAAGATACTTTATTATTTTCTTTAATATTATTTCACAGTATTGATTTCTCATATGCTAGTCTTTAACACATCTAACCCCACAAATACAATTTACACAACTAGACATTTCAAGAAAACTTGTATTTGATAATGACTGTGTTTACATTTTGAGAACATTCTTAGTATAAACACTTGCAGCATTTTAATAAAAGCATGGGAACATGCAAAAACCCAGAAAACAATATTAATTAGTGGGAATGGGTGGTGAAACAGACGCTAATAGTTTGTTAGTCTAACAAAGTGAGCCAGATTAAAAGCACAATTCAGACTGACACCCGAACAAAGTGTAGGAGTCCCTGTTGGCCCACAGAGCACTATTAAAAGACTGCCACTGTGTGGGGTCCCGAAAAGAAGGAATTAAACCTAAAATTTACTCCCCCCCCCCCCCCAAACATGTACCTAGGATAAACTTCTACTTTTTGCTTAAAGGAAGCAGCTTATGACTTCTGGTTGGACCATCCCACTGCCAGAATCAGTTAGTTGTCTTTTGTACATGGGAAATGATTTTGTAAAGTAAGTGTTATCTAAAACCAACCTCTGCTTATTCCATGGCAGTTCTAAACATGGCTACTGATATGCCATGGATACACTGGACAAGGTATTGCTGAGATATACTACTTAGAATGGCATGAAATAAGGTTCAAATTGTTAATTTCTGGAATGTTTAATATTTTCAAATCTTGTTTTACTGTTGGCTTCTGAAACAGAGCAAAGGTATGAGTTGAGGGGACTACTACTGTATCACTGTTTAAGTGCCACAGAGAGACACATACAGTCAAAAAAATTCAATTCATCTAGATGCTTCAAGATTCTTTTGTCCCATGTTTTGGAAGGGTAAGAAAAGATTCTAAATACACTTATGAGAAAATACTTCCTGAAGTGTGAATAACTATGCTATTTGTAAATTTGTGTTCTGTTGCCTAAATAAGAAATTTAGAAGAATTAATTAACTTTAGCTGTTATACTTTTCTCTATATACTACTGGAAAGAAAAAGGGGTAGAAAAAAATCAGATCATCACATCATTTCATATTTAGTATGTTTTGTTATCGTACCCATGATACACCATACAACTTAGGCTATTGTCGTTAACAACATGTGAGGTTTGTAGTAGTTTTGCAAACTGATGACTTAAGGGCCTTTGTCCATTTTAGAAAACTCTTAGCCAGTATCTTATCAAATACTGTTTTTCTCTATTCTTCTTTTCTTCAGGAGACTGAAAACACGTATTTCCAGGTTTAAAAATGTAGGGTTCTGTACGTCTCCTGTGCTCCTGTTTTCTGTTTCTTCCTTTATCGGTTTAGGCACTTTTCTATGCACCTACCCTCCGGCTCATTAATATTCTCTTTTGTTGTGACTAATACCTTAAACTGATTGGTTGAGCTATGAATTTCAGTAAAACACATCTTTGTAGTTCTAGAATATCTACTTGATTAATTTTAACAGAATCTTTGGTGAATCTTACACCTTAGCTAATCTGGTGAAATGAATCATGCTTAAAATCAATAGTTCCTATTTGTTCATCCTTATTATCAATGGATCATTGTTTCTCTGATTGCTTTTCCTTCTTTAAGTCTTTTGGTTATGTGTCTTGACATTCCATAATTTTGTTTTAAAATCATGTATGGATATCTGTAAAGGTTACAGAGAGCATGCTCTAGTGATTTTAAATTTTAGTTTAGAAGAATATGGAATTGGAAAAATTACAAGAATTTAAGCAAAGACTGAGTTAGCCCAAGATTTCTTTTATGTTTTTCAGAATTGGTTTGTTTCTAGTTTATCCTATCCCTAGGGCATAACACCTTGATAATTTCAAATAAAATCCTGGGGTGTTTCAAAGACTCCCTTCTTCCATAGTTTTTGATCCCGATCCTTGGTATCCCTGAATGTCAAGCTCTGCTTAACACAGTGGTCTTTCGGCAGCTACTTTCAGCTGGGTTCTCAACAGCACTTAGAAGGCAAGCCTTAAAAGAAATGGCTACACAGAACAACCCTAGCTCAGTGAGAACTGTGAATGACTTAAAGTGTCATTCCAGCCTTATGCCATGAACTGGCAAGTCCTATAATAATGGGACTACAAAAACTAAGGCCTGGTTCCTGTAGCATGTTGCTTTCTTGGATGTTATATTCTCAAGTCCTGGTTACCACGATTGCTTTTTATAATAAGCTCTTAGTCAAATTTTTAATATAACATTTAATAAGCTGTTAGTTGTATTTTATTTAGCTGCTATAATTCAAAGACAATTTTAATTATTCTTGCTTGGTGGCTTTGTCTAATATAAGTTACAATGTCATGGCCAGAAATAGCAGACTCCTCGCTATACATTATATTTGGTATGCATCAAAATCCACTAAAACAACTGAACTTTAGGAGCAAAGAAATCCAGAATAAATATGCAAATAAGTAGACAATTGTCGTCAGAAGAAAAGTAAGAGTTAAATGACAGTTTGGAAGATAGAGGACTTTTCAAATCATTTTTAGTAACCTAACAATGGGATACTTCATATAAACTTCAAGTGAAATCTTGGGCTTCACTCATATTTCAATAATATAAATCCAGGGCTTCATGAGCACTTACGTAGCATGGATAGGATTAAATAAAAACTGAGAGTCCAACAATAATTGAAAGTTGTGGTAACTGAAAGTCTAAAGATGATCTTCTATACAGACTGAAACAGTTCCACTTCATCATACCTTGTTAACTTCCTTTTCCTCTTGGCAGCAGCAGTCATAGCCATATAGGACGGCACACTTGTTGATACAGGCCTAGACTCTTTAGTTGAAAATAAGGAAGATTCATGCCTAGACATTAACAATGAAGAATTAGAAGAGAATAAGTTCGATTTACACAGAAAAAACTGATTTACATATAGGAAGATATTCCTCTATATAAAAAGTTCCCTCGATTGAATTCTCTATTTAAAAAAAATACCAGTGACGATGTCAAACATTTCTGTATTTCTCACAGAAAAAAAAAATACAGGTATCTTTCCTCCCATGTTTAGATTGGATGGATGTAATTATGCAGTCGAATGCTTGCTTGATGACATTCAGTCAGTCACACACTGGATATTAGGCTACACTGAATTCTGTATATTCCTTAACTGAGGCATTGATGACTAGTAGGAAGCATGGTAGTCCTTCATTAGTGGCTTAGGCCACACAGCATCAGAAAAGGAGCACAGATAAAATATATCTTAAAGTTTCTTCTAGTTTAAGGTCAATTGACATAGGATATCAAATGTATGATTTAAACAAGTAGTTAGTATACCCACACTCAATTTATCAGTAATAAATAAGCAACTTTTATACCAAGGGGAGGATACTTGATCTATGAAATAAACCTCCAATATAAATAAAGAAGAGAAAGGACATTAACAGTTTCAAAGGCTTGGGGAAAAAAGAATTGTAAAGTATTCTGTTTTTGTACCTGGGTAAACTGCTTTTGCTGTTTGGTAGTGATTCTGGTTCAGGCAATTTATTCTTCAGGCTCCTGATATCATCACATATAGTTAATGAAGAGTCTGCATTCTGTTTACACTCTGTTCTCCCATTGAGAGGAGAACCTACTTCACACGGCATTTTCAAAGAACTATCATTGGCTATGCTTGTAGTATGTGACAAAGGTCTTACTAAGGCTGGAGATGGGTTTTGAAGAGATTTTCTGCAGTCCTCTGGGGTATAAACAATAGGCTGAAGTTCCTTGCTAAAAGAATCGTTGAGCTGTGAACTTTCAGACAGTGGAGACTTCTGAGCATGTTTTTCTTTCAAGGAGGAAGACAATAATTTTCTTCTGGTTCTCTTTTGTGGAGTAGTATCAAGCAAATTAGGTTCACTTGAGGTTGTGCCTGTTCAATAAAATTATAAAATTAAAAAATTCAATAATGTGACCTCAATAGTTATTTCCCAAATTGCAATAATTAAGAAAATAAAATCACTAGTAACGTATGTACCATTTGTTAGAAATCTGAAAGAGAATAACAAGTAGAAAAGGAATAAAGTATGGTTATTTATTAATAACTTTAATAGTAAATTTACTGAATAGATTTAAGAGTATAAATTCTTACTGTCAATAGATACATATGTATAGCTACATAGGTATAGCCATCTTTAAGTACTGAGCAATCAAAAATTCAAATTTCCAACCACTTCTGACAATTCACAAGCAATTTCCGGCGTTCATGTTTGTGATAGGGTTAAGAACAAATATTTACTGTTTGTAGCTACATATATGAATACTTATCCAACTATCAAATAACACCTGCTTAATAGGAGTAAGTGGCTGTATTGTCTAGATAAACAAGGAAGCAATTCCCAAGAAAATCTCATTTTTCCTTTCTATTTGTCAGCACCGCCATGAAGTCTATGTTTTAAAAATACTTACAACTAGAACAGTTGTGACTGTACAATCCTTCTAATTCAAATCTTTTAGTAATCTTTAATGGAAACACACTAAGGTAATTTTTAGGGTTTGAACCAAAATTAAGAAAACAAATTGTTCTGGTAAAACTTAAAGTGAATTCTCAGAGTCCTAGAAATGCTCACACCATTTAAGTATACAAATGTTTATCAAATGTCTTATATTAATATCCAAAATAATAACAGAATATAACCGTATAACTCATAAATTCTAATATATTTATCTTACATTTAATATTCCTGCCTGCTTCATTGCTATGACCTTCAAGAGACCTGACATGAAGTCTCTTAGCCTAATTTTTTGTAGAAAACTATGTTATTTCCATGAATTTTTAAAATCAGACAGAAAAGCTCCCAATTGATGTTACATTTGCTTTATTAGTTAATACTACTTAAATGCAGGTAGAAGCACCTATGTATTTCAGTAAGGCAATTCACAACTCCTGCTCAGTTAAAAATACATGTATGGCAATTACCAGATGTATGTGCATTATTCTTATTATGATAGTTGACAATTACCCTCTGGGAAACACAATTTAAAAACAGGAAGAAATAATGATCTCCATTCTACTAAGAAATTTGACTTTTCTGAGAACTAGATAAATGAGATCTAGATCTTAAAATAATTTTCCACTCCCTTTAACATGACATTTGTCAAATTTTCCATTACCAGATATTTTTATACTAATGCTGCAGTGTAAAGACAGTTACTCTTCTCCACTGTGCTGCTACCACCAATTTGGTGGCTAATAATAGCTAGAAGATTAACTTCTTTTTCCGTGAGAGACACAGGGGTACAGAAGACAGAAAACTATATTGAGGATAGAGAACTGAGTTGGGAGTCAGAAGACTTGACTTCTATTTCTGATTTTACCAAAGACCCAGTGAGTGACCTTGGGCAACTCACTTTAAGTAGTGTACACATTAATACCTTGTTGAAAAGTGGAGACGGCATCATTGTATAGAAAAAGGATTTTCTAGGATTAGATGATAGAAACATTTAGGGTTCAATGAAAAGTTTTGGAAATAAAAAAGTGCTTCAAATTAAAGAATTAAAATTTTAACAAGGGGGTAATTTATTTTCCAATACTCTATCAATAATCAATTCATAGTTACGTCCAAAACAATATATTTCAAACAATTCCTTTCAGATGATAGATATAAAATTTATTAAGGTTAATCATAAATTAAAATATAAATCAAATGAATTAATTGTTGAAATAAGACCATAAATGTGTTACTTGTCATGTAAGAATAGTAACATACAAAACTTAGAAAAATGGTACAGAAAATTTCAAGGGGGTGGTGACAACCATAGTCACTACTTTTCTTCTATATATCTAATGTGAATAACCTTTTAAGTGATAATCTGACAACTGAATATAACGGAGAACTACTTTTTTCCTACAGCAAATAGTATACGAAATGAGAATCTTCCATAAGCCACCTGTCTTCTGGGATAATCTAAACAAAGACTTAACATTGAACAATATATGTCCAGAACAATAACTGGTTAGAGAAAGAAATAATAACTTCATAATGATATATCATTAGCTAGAATTTTGCACTATGAAAGGCTGAGTTGGAGGAAATACATGCCAATATAGTAAATAGGGAATTATACTGATTGTTGTGCTTGGTGTAGAAATATACAAAATGTATATGATAGAGCTTTTCTTATCAGTTTTCAATTTATTTATTTAGATAAAATAGTGAGGGGGTAGACGGTCAATTTAAGACTGCCCAGGTAGAATACCTGACAAGAAAGGTTTAGAAGACAGTAGAAGCAAAACCAATATTCAAACAGTTCCACAAAAATTCAACACACTGTAACTATACACAAGGTTATGACCCCTCTTAGCAAAAACTTAAAACACATAAGATATGACATTTCATTTCGAAGAAGCTTTCTAGAATATAATGATTTCTTTTTATTCAAATTTGACTCTCTAGGAAGGTACAACAAGTAGAACATGTAAGGTTAAGGTTACTATAATCTATATGCTCTAAGATCCACTGAATATGCTAGGCCTGTGTTTACAAAGAAGATTTGCTGTACTTTTCCATTAGAAGAAAGGGGTATACTGTAAATTTCCAGAAGAGCTGGTTTGGGGCAGATGTACCTAATTCAGCCTAAGAAAATGTTATCTATCAAGTGGAGATAGTTCTATTTATCAAGATTCCATAATTCTCAAACTTAGACTGTAGAAGTGATATAAAGGAACCTGAAAGGAGATTATATTCCTTTATAATGCCTCCATAAAAATCCAGAAAAGATGGCATATGCTTACAATCCTAGCACTCAGGAGGCCAAGGAAGGAGACTTGAGAGTTTAAGGTCAGCCTGAGTCATACAGCAACACCCTGTCAACAAACTAATCAACCAACCAACCACGGGTTAGCAAGGACAAAAGTTGAAATAGGAAATTAGTAATAGCCTGCCTCTACAGCTCATGTGAAAAATGATGACAGCTTGGATAGGGTACTTAGAGCAGTGATGGAGAAATATAGAAAGCATGCTAGAATTCAATTAGATGCGAATGATATAAAGTATGATTTGCTGTCCATCAGAGGGACCAAAGTAAGTAGTTCAGATGAGGAGTAAGTCATCTGAGTATCACTGGGGACTGATGTCAGAATGGCTCCCAAATACCAGTCTCCACTCAAATCTCTTATAAAATGGTGGCAGTGTCGGGGGGGGGATAGGAAGAATTATCACTATATTGTCAAAGATCATAGTGAACGCAGAGCAAAGAATCCTCTTGTTTCGGTCTCTGTAGTAGCTGGAACACAGGAATGCATTTCCATGCCCAGCTTTTCATAAATAAAAGCATACTTATAATAACTTTGCCTGACCTAAGAGAAAAATACAGAGAAATAGAAGAAAATCTAGAAGGTACATCCTCCTGTATTACATTATTTTAGCCTCTACTATAAGAAAAGAATTATATCAATTATGGAATAGCTAAATAAAACATAAAACGTTCACAATTTCACAGCTACATATAACCACCTTTTATAGATTTGATATACAAGAGATATTTGTTAAATAATATAGTACTACTATATGAATTTTGTAAGCTTCTTGATTTTAATTTGGACAAAACAAAGGAAAAGGTCACCAAATACAAATCATGTATATAACAAACCTTCACAAACAGGAAATCTCAGAAAGGTATAGCAAAAGGAAATATGGCGGGTACAGTGTGTCAGTCAGTGTATTATGCTGTCACTAGGAAAGTGACCGCTTTATGTAATATGCATGACAATGTCTAAAACACACACACACACACACACACACACACACACACACACACACACACCTCGTAGGAGTGATGTCTGAGGTAGAGTAGGAAGAAGACAGCTGTTAAGAAACCAGCTCTTCAAAAGGACCAAGACCATTATACCTACAGAAATAGCTGACTCAAGCTAGTGGGAGCTCAAAGACCCCACATTGACAGCTGGGGATCCGGCATAAGACTGAATGAGGCCCTCTGAATGTAGGTGACAGTTGTGTGGCACGGACAGTTTGTGGGAATACTAGCAGTGGAACCAGTATTTATCCCTAGTGCATGATCCAGTCCTTTGGAGCCCATTCCCTATGGAGGGATACCTTGCTCAGCCTAGATACAAGAGGGAGGGCCATGGTCTTGGTCAGTGATTTGACAGACTTTGTTGACTTCCCATGGGAGGTCTCATTCACTCTGGGGAGGGGAGAAGGTGGGAGGGTAGTAGGAAGGGAAGGAGGGGAACAGAGATTGGTATGTAAACTAAGATTGTCAAAAACAAAGCAGAAGACAAAACAAACTCCACCTCTTTTAAGCCTAAATAACTATGGGGACAAGACTTTATTTGCATATACATAGTACAGATGAAACAGAGAAAAATAAAATTTTAAGTCTGTATAAAAAGTGCTGGGAAAGTTGTGCATGTTTTATTTGGAATACCCATTGGTTGCTAAGACATAACATGAGGAAACGCAAGTTAGGAAGGAGAGGTGTAGTATGCACTGGTGTAGAGTTAAAAGGATATATGGAAACACGAAGGCAGTTGGGGAGCAGACTGTAAGGTAGAGAAGGCATATGCAGAAGATAACATTAAAGACCCTTTGAAAAAGATATATGGAAAACTACTACTGCTAAAGTTTCCTAAAGAACATACACATTCATAAAGAGTTAAAATAATACAGATTCCCAAATCCCCAAACATTATAGACCACTGGCATTGCTTTTGGTTGCCCTCTAGATCTTTACAAGAAGACCCTATTGTTGAAGACACCACATACTTGAGTCAAAGAATATGGCAACATCAATCTGGTAATGATCTGGAAGCTTCATCTAAAGACTAGAAGTGCACATAATATTGGAGGGTACTACAAATGTTATTTAGATAGAAAAGCAATCATCAATAATATCTAGCTGTGAATTCCA